GCAACGAAGGATATCTAGCTCGAAGCCAAACATCCACGATTTCAACTCCACGATGGAGGATATCGTGCCACTCAAGACAACACAAGTTCAACTTCACAACGAAGGGACGGCTGGTTGTCAACGAATAACTTTCCAATTTCAAAGCTGATTTTCCACGACGGAGGATATCATGCTACCTATGACAACACAAGTTCAACTTCACAACGAAGGGACGGCTGGTTGTCAACAACAATTTCCCAGTTTCAGGGCCAATTTCAACTTCACAGCGGAGGATATTGGACCCAAGACAGCACAAGCTCAACTTCACAGCGAAGGGGCGGCTGACTGTCAACAAACAATTTCGGAGCCAATCTCAACTTCACAACGAAGGATATTGGACTCGAGACAACACAAGTTCAACTTCACAACGAAGGGACGGCTGGTTGTCAACAAACAATTTTCCGTTTCCAGAGCCAATTTCAACTTCACGACGGAGGATATTGGACTTGGAACAATGCTACTTACTTGGATTTCAACTTCACGACGAAGGTTATCCAACTCAAAGAAGGATTATTTGCCATCAAAATTGTCGAGTTCGACTCCATTCAGCTCGATGACACATCAATCGCACTACTTTCCGGTTGCAGTCGAGGTTTTCAAGTCGAGGAGAGGACCTGGGTTAGCCGTGCCTTAGTGACAAGCAAACATTTTCAAACAGCATAGCTTAAGTCAAGAAAAAGCTATCTGTCAATAAAGATTTCTCAGTTCTATTCCGATCCAAGGTCTTTAAACCGAGAAGAAGACCGAAGGGTAACGGGAAGCCACGTGCTGATTCAAATTCTGAACTACGGCTTTAATTTCATATCATTTCAAGATGAACTCGACTTCACGATGGAGGAGTCATCCGTAACTCAATTCGACAGGGAGTTATTGAAACATCAGAGTTAATTTTCAACTCCACTGAACGAAAAGTGTGTCTTTTAATCTTTGCCCTATCCTCGTTACACGACTATGGGCAAAGAGGGGCAGCTGTCAACACACATTTTTCGTCCTAATAGGATTCAAACTCCTAAAAATAGGATAGAATTTTAGGATTCAAACTCCTAAAGATATGATAGAATTTTGCTAGGATTCAAAAAATAGGATAGAATTTTATGATTTAAACTCCTAAAGATAGGATCCACAAGCACTATAAATAGCCATTGTAACTCACCATTGTAAGACACGATTTACACACAAAACACATAGGAAAGCACGGGAAGATATAAAGGCAAAGCTATTGTAAAGGATTCGAAAAGGAAATAAAATGTAGCATTTTCTTTTTTCTTTCTTTTGAATGTGCACGTTATTTTTCTTGAAATTTGGTTCGAATAACCCAAAACATGGGTTGCGCCGATGACCAAAATGGGTGGGGTTTCGATGTTTCGAACCTAGATCTACCCCGAGGCTTATTTTTAAAAACCGATTTGATTTTCGGTTAAAGGAGGGGAAGAGTTTTTTAAAAATCTATATTAGTCTCTTTATTTATTATATGGATATTTTATTCATTTTTTTATTATTCATGTTATTATTATATGTATATATATATATTAAATTATTTTCATTTGATTTTTTACTATATTTTTTTATTATTATTATTATATATATATTTCTTTAATATTTTATTTATAAGTCTAATATTACTATATATATATTATAATTATCTTTATCTAGTCGTATGTATTTTTTATACTTTTAATAGTTTATTTATATACATATAATTAAATATATATATTCTTAATTATTTTTATTTGATTATTTCGTTATTTATGTAATATATCTTATAACTTTATATATTTATATTATTTTTTATTATTTTCATTTTTTTATTCATTATTATTATATTTTTTAAAAAAAAACCTTGTGTCTTTATCATTATTATTATTAAACATTATATTATATACTACTAACCTAGAGGATCCATTTTTTGTCTTATTTCTTACTAAAGCCCCCACTTTCGGTGAATTGAGAGGGTAACTTTTCTATTTTTAAGTATATATATATATTTATATTTCTTTTTCCTTTTTTCAAATATTACTATATATAATTATTACTTTACTATTTTTTTTCTTATCTTACTTATTATTTTATTTATTTTATTTTTCTCTTGTATCTTATTTGTTTTCTTTACCTTGTTTATCTAACACATTTCTCGATTTTTTTTTCAAATCAATCAAGGGTAAGTAATTAGGATCGAAACTTTACCTTTTAATTTAACTTGTTATTTTTCTTAATTAAGACAACTGGAAATTACGTAGTACCGAAAGGGCGGTTCAAGGGTGCTAATCCTTTCTTGACCGTAACCGACTCCCGAGCCCGACATATTTCTGGTAAGACGCAGATCAGGTAAGAAATAGGGTATCCGATCAACCCATTTATTTTTAAATAAATGATCGGTGGCGACTCCAATCCACATTTTTCAAGTCGAAGCCCAATTCCGGGGCCCAACCGAAAGACGGTTGCGACACATCGTACATTTTAATTTGGCTTAATATAAAAATAAAATATATTTTATTTTTTCTTTTGGGTGTCTAAGATTTTTTAGTCAATCCAGGAATATAAAATTACAAACGTTATCACTTTAAGTGTCTTGAGCATAAAGGCTATTAAAAAATTCTGTTAAATAACACGTGCCGCGTTTATATATTTTTTAAAAATATTTAAAAAATCTTAAAAATTAGAGAAAATACCCAAATTTCTTTGAAATTAAAAGAGACCCAAAACCCTCAAATTGCTAATTCAAATTTCTATTTGCAATAATCCCCGACCATCTCCGGCCCTGATCGATCATCACCTTTGTTGTCATTCTAAACCTTTAAATACATAAATTCCATATTTTTAACCCTAAATTGAATGGGAAAGGGATTTAATTGTTTCTTACAAGGATTTAAGAGGGAAAAGGCCGAACTGATGTTGAATTAGTGTCGGGGGGTTGAATTAGCACTACTAACAGGGGAAATTGGTGTCGCTGGAAAAAGAGCGAAGGGGACACGGGGAGGGAAGAGGGCAACTAAAATATTTTTTAAAAAATAGTTTTTTAAATGATATTTTTATTTTTTAAATAAAAAATTATATAAAAATAGATGTGACACTAGGGATGAGCATGGGTCGGGTTTTTGGTCCACCCAAAACCCGACCGGAGAAAAAGGAGTCCTCCACCCGAGACCCGACCCGACCCGACCGAAACAAGATTTCACCCGACCCGATATATAACTTAAAAACCCGACCTGTTCCGACCCGAAATAATATAAAAATATTATTTTTATTCAATAAAAACAGTAACTTAACTGAAAAAAATAATATATATAGGGGTATTATTGTAATTATTCCTAAATATATAAGATAAAATTATATATTTTTCGGGTCGGGCGGGTATTTTTCACCCTAAATCCGAACTCGACCCGAACATCACATTAAAAAAAACTAACTCAATCCGACCCGAACCCTATTTTTAAAAAAAACATGACCCGATCAGGTTTAAAAAATAATTTTTTTAAATGATATTTTATTTTTTAAAATAAAAAATATATAAAAATAGATGTGACACGTGTCACTTAATATACTTATTTTAATAGACACTTATGTGAAAAAAATGTATAGTACTTAATTTTATATTAAAAATTTTGACAAAATGTTGAGACAATAGGAGTATTATTTTATTAGAGGGTTAAGGAAAAAGTCTCTTAAATAGTTGGAATGTGATATCCTTTAAAAGTAAAAATCTAGCGAATTGTGTTGTTTATTTAAAAAAAAATCAATTTAGATTTTATTTTCAAATAAAGCTTATTTTGTTTAAATAAATTTACATTCATAAAGAATCAGAATTCAAAATCACATTTGGACTCGTAAATTCTAATTTAAAGACAACATATAATCAATTAAGTATCAAGTTTGAGATTTGTAAGGGTGTTAAGTGTTTCCTACATATAACTAACTCTTGAATTTGCTTAATTTTTTAATCTCTAATTAAACAGAGATTTCAAATTTGTCCTTAAAAAGATATTTTAAAAAATTTCTTTTAAAAGGCAGTTTTATAGGTGTTTGTTCATATCCAACCCTAAATGATATATATCTACTCCCATCTTATTTTCAAAATTGGTATTTTTAAATAATTATGAACACGAATATTAAAAAAAAATCAACGAGCTTAAAGATCTTTCTGATAGAGTAACTGTACAACGAAAAAAAGTTTCTATAGGAAAGATTTGACCAACTCCCCTACTTAGTGTCTCACAAAGAACAACATACAGTTGCCCTATTTATGAAGTTCAACATATGATATATTGAGAGCATTTCTAAGCAAAGTGAAAGTAGTATAACGTTTATGGGGAAAAACCAAATAATTTAGGAGAATAACTTGATCGAATTTTTAAATATGATATTAGGTTTATTGCATTATTTCCAAATTAATATCAAATTGTATAAATTTTAAGATTAAGAGTGTTACTATACCAGGCGTTGTTAGTTGTTAGACGTCTGTTTGATCGTTTCAATTTTAACAGTAGAATGATTTGTTATAATATATTTGAATTTAGTGATTAAATTATAAATTTAAAAGGAAAAAGGTTACTCATTTATAACCGACAACGACTCATGTTTCTATTATAAGCTTTGAATGTTTTACTTCCGTTAAGCAAGTGGATAGGATAGACTAAAATCTGAATAATATATAAAGCATTGCCTCTCTGATATTCTTTTGTGGACTTCAGTAGGACATAAACTAGGAGATTTTGATGTCTTTTATACGTAAAGGGATTCTATGAATAAACGACGATGCCACGTTGAGCATTGATATGCTTGTCCATATGTTTTGTTTGCTCAGCCTGCCTGTTTCAAATAATTTTGGGCGTTCCTCATAGCAACTAATGGTTAAGATGTAAGGCATGATTTTAATGCTTTAAGACTTTTACATTAATATTAATTTAACTGTAATTTAAAACACACGATGATAACACGCTTTTAATACAGATTTATATTATGATTAAAGAGATCAATCGGTGTCCGACCAGTAGATATCCATGCCCCCCCAATCACTTTCAGGAACTCCAAGAGCCTTCCAAACTGCTTTGGAGGCATCAACGATGTTATTAGGGCAAGGAGGCTGATAATCATGGTCCGAATCGCATCCCATCGTAGAATCACATTCGTCGACGACTTTAGCCCTCACACTTCTTCCATTACCATAAATGTTAATATACTTCAAACACCTCTTTTTGTCGTTAAACCACCCGGTTGAAAGTGCCACCACAGGGTCATCATCCGAGTGGTATTGGTTGTCACATTCCGACGGGCCGCCGCCATCTCCACCGGCCTGAAAGCTGTTGAGTGTCAACGTTGCTTTCGTATGGCTCGACACGAGCGGTGAACATTTATATGTTGTGTAGAGCTTCCCAACTTTACAACAGTCAGAGTCGTTTTCAGTGTTGCATTGCCCAGGAGGAGGATTTTTCCCTCTTATTGTCCCACTAGGCCTGCAAGTTTGAGCTTTAACACTTGCGAATATATACACAACGCAAAGGAGAATTATGAAGACACTTGAACCAGCTTGCTTCTTCATTTTCTAATTCAGCTTTGTTTTAATGTTTTGGTTGTGCCAAACTACAACTGGGGAAAGGCAATATATAGAGATTATAGCTCCAAGTAATTTAAAATATCACTCTTTCAAACTTTAAATTAGGACAAATTTGTGGCACCTTCGGACTACCAAGGATAATATATTCTTTTTTAACTTGCAGAAAATATAGACAAATATAGGTATAAATATTATGGTGGACCGCTAGAATGGAAGATTTGTGAGTTGAGTTAATGTATAAAAGTATATGCAATGAATCAAACATGTATTGTACCGATAAGGAATATTCTTTTAATCACGATTGTGTTCATCAAGTTAAAAGAAATTTAGTTAGTTAAGATAATGAATTGTATTTTATGATTTAAACTCACTTTAATTTTTTTTTTCAAGTAGAGTTGAGTTTATAAAGTTTGAGTCGAATCGAAGTGTTCGAATTTATATTCAAATTTAATTATAATTATTTTTAGTATTATAGTATTTATTCTATTTTTTTTCACTTTCTCTAACCATAATATATATATATATATATTCATATTTCTTTCCTTTCCATTTTATAATGTTACTAAACAAATCAAATAGAATCGAATATCATTATAAATAAAAGGGTAAAATATATCATTGATCACCTAACTATTTAGCCCTTTTATTTTACCATCGATCTTTCAATTTTGTCAATCAGACCACTTAACTATATAATTTTTTCAATCAAGCCACTTGTTGTTAATATCTAACGGAAATACCGACATGGTAGTTAATAAAATTGGTATAATTATACATTTAATCCTCAATAATTAGGCATTTTATCAATTTGGTCCTACATCAAATTTAATTCAATAAATTTAATCCACCAATTAGATGGTGAAACATGTCACCATTAGATTAAATGTTTTTCTATAATTTAAATTTATTTAAGGGTAAATTACATCGTTCCTCACTGTATTATACTCTCTCTCCTATTTTCCTCACCCAACTTTAACTTTTCTATTTTGCTCACTAAACTTTACAAATTGAATCATTTTGCTCACTCCCCCGTTTTCTCTCTAATGACTGATGATGTGGCTTTTTTATTATTTAATATAAAAAAATTTAAAAAATAAATTAAAAACGGAAATGTGGTCGGATGCCACATTCGACCATTGGCGACAACCATAGATAGTGGTCGTTTGTGCCCAAATTGGGATGGGTCGCATCGCCTCGATGTCACGAGATCAAATTCAACCTCCATTTTGTCAGAAGTTGCTCCGAAGCCCACGAATTTGAGATTGGAAGTGAGGAAACTGAAACGTTTCAATCCAAATTCACGGGTTTTGGGATATTTTCTGGTGAAACAACCACCAGGTTCAGACTCATGGGTCGAGACAAATCAACCCGTCCCATTTTGGGTTCGAACGGCCACCATCTACGGCGGTCGGAATGAAAATGACGTGGTGGTCGACGAAAAGAAAATGGAGAAGAGAAGGAAAAAGGGTAAATTACACCATGAGTCATTAAACTTTACTCTCTCTCATATTTTACTCACCAAAACGACATAGTTTTAGAGTATATTTGAGTTTTTCAAAACGGCATCATTTTGATTCCTGTGCCACATCATAATGCTGTTAAAAAGTTACGGTAGAGTAAGCAAAATGATTCAATCTGTAAAGTTCAGTGAGCAAAATAGAAAAATTGAAAGTTAGGTGAGGAAAATAAGAGAGAGAGTATAGTACAGTGAAGAATGGTGTCATTTACCCCTCACCATATGGTTAAATGAAAATCAAATAACATATAGATGCATAAGAATAAAGAAGGTTTGGGGGAAATTGAACCTGGGGCACTCGGTTGAAATTAGGGATGGGATGGTCGGGTTTGGTTTGGGTTAGGCCAACCCGACCTGACCTGAAAATTTTACATCCTTCACCGACCCTACCTGACCCGAAAAATATATACCCTTCACCCGATCCGAACCCGACCTAACTTTTTGAGATAAAATTCGAATCAGACCCGACTTGACCCGAAATAATAAAAGATGTTATTTTTATTCAATAAAAACAGTGATTTAATTGAAAAATAATAATATAAAGAGGGGTATTTTTTTAATTATATCTAAATATATAAAGTAAAATTATATTTTTTGGATCAGATCATATATTTTTTACTCTAAACTCGAATCTGACCTGACCCGAACCTAAATTTTAAAAAAAAAACCCGACCCGATATACTATTCCCCTCGTACCCCTTTTATTCTTATGCCTCTATATGCTATTTGATTTTCATTTAACCCGATGGTGACACTATCTACTTATCCATTTGGTTGGAAGATAAATATATAATTAAATAAAGCGAAGAATAATGTTTGACAACACAAGCTTGTGTTGCTGTAAAAATGGCTCCAGAATCAGTTGTTCGATAACATCAGCCAACACTTGGTACCTGTTTAGATAAAATAATCCTTTTGGTTTGTCACCTACTTCTTCCTTATCTCTTCTGCTTCTGCTTCTGCTTCTGCAACTCTTCCTCACCAACTTCTTCTCCCCATTCTGAAACTCCAGACCCGTACTATACTGTGAAAACTTCAAATCCGGAACCCCTTCACTAGCAGTAACAACCTCGCTGATAAGATTCTGACAATAAAAAATTGAACTCCCTTCGTTTAAATTCTTATAAGTAAACTCTAAAAGCTCACTAACTGGAACTGTTTTGATAGAAACATCCATGGAATCCCCTTCTACTCGGGTGACACAATGATTACAATCTGGGCTAGAACGGACTTAGCACAGATCTGATTGGTTCCGTTTAATCAGCTTAAGTACACATTATAGCAAGTTTTAAAGATGAGAAGCAAGCAATCGCCACGGACCAAAAAGTAAGAGCATCCAACGGCGGACAGCAAAACTCGGAGCATAGCAAACTCTATCGATCCGTCGCCAATGACACCGACCTTTTTGATGGCCTATTATCTAAATTTCTCATTAAGATCTATTACATTGTATCCATATCTAAATGATGGTCTTTTTGGTTTGAAGCATGAATCCAATATATAACTTTGAGGCCGTTTTAGTCCTCTTTCCTACAGAAGGATTCGACCTCCTATGACTAAACGCCTCTTCTTGTCATTCTTCTTTCTTGGGTCAACTGGGTTAGTATTGCTCTCTAACCGTTCCTAATTGATTTGTTAAACCTTGTTTACTACAATAAATTTGTCAATTTATGATAAAATTTATATATGACGTTACTTATATCATCACAAAATATATTATAATGTGATGTTTTTTTTATTTTCGTCATATTTATTGATTAATGGTATATCTTTTACGATAATTTTAAAAATTATCATTAATTTTTGTCACTGTATGTTTGGCGTCAAAATCTTTCCACCAAATTCTTTGGTGGAAAACCTTTTAATGACATTTAGATAAAATAATGACGGTGTAAAATCGTCTCCAATGAAAAACATGTATTAGTGACGATTTATTATAATGACGATTGAATTTGAAATAGTGGTATTGCACATTTGTCACTAATAAGTTTTATTCGTGACAATTTAATTTATCATATTTTATAAGACACTAAAAGTGACATTTTATTATTGTGACAAAAAATAGTTTTAGAACGACGAAATCAATTATTTGTCACTTGTTTTTATCTCTATTTTTTATATGACGATTTTAAAAGACGTCATAAAATTATGTCAGTTAATGTTAAAAAATAAGATAATCTAACAACCTTATTAAATTATATATTTTATAGATATTTTATATATTTTTTATTTTATTAACATTATTCTATATTAGATTATCTCTCATTCAAATATTTTTAAAGTAAAACATAAAATAATAAATCGTTAAATTTACTCATTTAAATTCGTCGCTCTACAATTCCGAGAACACAAGTCTTTTTTATTCATATTCTGCTTTCCCCAGTCCTACTCTTTCAATCGCTCCAGCACTTTTACAATTTACAAAGGTCTTTGGAAACCCTAAAACAATAAATTTACTCATCAAGGAAGGACGAATGGCGGTCCATTGCAATTCCGCTCCTCTGTGTTGTAAACCATTGAGAAACAGAGGCCCCAGACCCGTATCCGCTCTCTTACCCGCTCGTCTATCCTCAATTCCTCGAACCTATTCAGCTTCCGTTCAAATAGATTAAAGCTCTCAACCTGTAGGTATTCATTAACTTTTAAACCAAAATCTACGATTCATTCTGTATGGTTTAGTCTTTATATGTATATGTTTTCGTTTCGGGTTGGTTTCACAGGTGGGATAAGGGGGTTTCTGTTGTTGTTTCTGAAGAGAGTGCTGTTGGGTCCAGCTCTTCTGGGACTGATGTATTCAACCTCACTTACCTAGAGGTGGGTTTCTTTTTCTTTATGATTTAGTAGTTTCAGTTAATTTTCACCCTCTTTTTTGTTGTTGACATGGTTTAGTTTTTTGTTTTTAGGGGAATAGTTGGTTGTGGGATGTAAGTGGGGTTAAACTTTTGGTTGATCCAATTCTGGTTGGTAACTTGGACTTCGGCATTCCATTGCTCTATGATGCTGCCAAGAAATTTATTAAGAATTTCAAGGTTTCTTTTTGTATCCATGTTATATATATATATAATTTGCTTTGTTGTTTAATAAGTGTGTTTGTTGTAATTGGGGTGTAACTTCCTTTGTGCAGCTTTCTGATCTTCCTCAACTTGATTACTTACTGATTACACAAAACGTTGATGATCACTGCCATTTAAGGACCTTAAAACCGCTCTCGGAAATGTCCCCAAATCTTAAGAGTCGTCGCAACTCCAAATGCCAAGCCTTTGTTGGATCCACTTTTCAGAAATGTGAGTTAAATCGTTAATTTAGTTTTCAGGGGTTCTACTAGGAATCTGTTACTGTTTATGGTTCACGTTCCACTGTATTTTTTGTGGTTTGGTTCATTGAATATACCATCATAAATAGATGATAGTGTTAAATGTAAACAATTCAGGACAACTTGTCATTTTATTAATCTATTTAGTTGTAGAGCATTTGGTTTTAAACTAATTTTCAACCGAATCTGCTACTGTTTGATGTATCCATGCATATGGCTTTACTTCTGTTCACTGTTGCATTAGAATCTTTCAGGTCACATATCTAGAACCTGGTAAGGAGTCTGAAGTTGAATCAAGCAATGGTTCCAAAGTCAGAATTCAAGATACTCCTGGGCTAGTTCTCGGTCCTCCATGGCAACGACCTGCGAATGGGTAAGGCTCTCCGAGCTTCAACTTGAGAATGTGACTTTAAGTATAATGCTTGCACTCTCCGTTACTAATCATTGGTACCGTATGGTGTGCAATATTATTTTCTTATGACTGAACTTACATGTATGGTTTTTGCCACGACGGTCTTGGAATTATGTGTTTCAGGTATCTAGTCATTTCTCCACAGGGCCAATTAACTCTCTATTATGAACCTCATTGCGTATACAACAAAGATTTTCTTGAGAAGGAGCGTGGCTACATCGTTATCACCCCAGTCATCAAGCAGCTTCTTCAATGCTATTATTGTTCATTTTCACTTTCATCTCTGTAAATACCTTGGCAACATTAATGCTATTATTGTTTAAGAAAAATCCTATGGTAAGTTGGACACTTTTGATATTTATTATAAAGTTTATTTTTATTTTAAAGTCTAATTTTTATTTTTAAAATCATATAGTGCAAGGATGATGAAGAACCAAATAGGAAGGATTTCTTCAAGGCAACTCATTATTCAAATGAAAAAGGATGGACAACTTCTGAGGCACAAGCAAAATATGTAAGACCTTACAAAATTAAGTATTAAATTGTAATTTTCATCTAAGGATTATTTTATTTATGAATGACTTTTTTAGGAGAAAATGGTGGAGTTGCAATCAACTCCAACTGAAGAAGGAGCAGAACCTAAGAATATTGATGATATAATGGATGAGGTACTTGGTACTAGATCAGGATACATTCAGGGGCTTAGATATGGGCCAAAGCCTAAGAAAGCAAATTCAAGTGCAGATACAATCGAGTTAAAAAAGAGTTTGAAGAATAAAGAAGATGAACTTAATAACTATAAGTCAAATTTTGAATTGATTCAAACTCAAATGGAAGCTATGAGATCTGCTTTGTTAGCTGTTGGAATTCAAGTGCCATCAATTCAATTTTCAGGTAAACAATATGGTTAATCAAATAAAAATTATTATATAATATTAATTGTAGTAACTAGTGTTGATATTTTAATTTGTAGCATCAAATGATACCACGAACACAACATCAACAAAATCACAACCGACTCAAGGTTTGGATTGAGATTGCTACAATGAAATATTCCACAAGTCATATTATTATCATATTATTTTTATTTTATGCAAACATTTAAACATTTTTATATTTATAGAAATGAAATTATTATGTTTTTAGCGAAATATTTGTTTAAATCTTATTATTTTGCAATAAGTGAACTATTTTTTTATTTAGATTTGTATAAATAATTTTTTAATATATATTGTCATTAAAAATGTGACAATTTTTAGTTTTGCCACTATGACCTTATATATGGTGACGTTATGCATAATCATCATTCAAAATATTATTAGGTAACGATATATTATGTCATTAAAAATGTGATAATATCTCTTTCGTCACATATAAGTTGATTTTAATGCATTATTTTTTACGATATAAATCATCAATAACAAAATTTTTCATAATTTAATGACATAATAAGTTGTCATTGAATATTAATTATATAGTTATGTTATATATAAATATCATTCATGTTACTATTAGGTGACGATATATTATGTTACTAATAATGTGACAATTTTTTTTTCGTCACGTATACAATGAAATTATTGTGTTATTGGTGACGGTATGATTTATTAATAACGAAAATGTACATCATTTAGTGACAAAAGTAATTGTCACTGAATGCAAATTAAACTGTGACGTTAACCATTAACGTCACTATATATTTAACAATACATGACGATAACACATACATCGTCACTTTTGACATTTAGTGACACACCTAGGGTGACAATTATCGTGACATTGATTTTTACGTCACACAATACATCAACTGACATAAATTGAAGTTTTAGTGACAATAACCTAGATGCCACTAATAAGAAAATTTGTTGTAATGTAGAACAACCTGCTAACCAACTTATCTAGTTTCGATTACTTGGGATAGGATATTTGGCAACTAGCTTTTATTTCTCGTTGGTCTGAGCTACACAAATCCAACTTATGTTATTGCCATACAGCCTTCAATTCTAGTGTTCACCTTTCTCTTGGCTGTGATGATGAAAAAGATTTTTTGTTTTTTGATATCGGTTCATTTCTATATTTCTTATAAACTAAATGTATATATTTTGATGTCTGTTGCCTTTTGCCATATTTTGTATGAAACTGATCTACTTGCAGTACAGAAGAGTGAATTTGCAAAAGACTGAAGGTCAAGCAAAGGTTGGAGGTATTGTGGAATACGGCTATCGGATAGAGTAAAATCGTAACTGATAATTTGAGAAAATAAAAATAAAGATAAAGAAGACACAATATTTATGTGGAAAACCCCTAAATAATATAGGGTAAAAACCATGAGAAAATGTAGAAGAATTTCACTATGAGAAAATAGGAATTACAACTTCTCTCGATCTAACAAGGAGAAAACAATGACAATTCTCTCTTGATAAAAAGGAGAAAACAACTCTCAAGAAAACTCTCTAAATTCTCTAGTATTGGAAGAAAGCTAGAATGATTTGAGATGGTTTTAAAGCTAAATGTGTTAGGGTATTTATAGTTGAAGTTTAAGGACTAATCTTATAAATATCTTAAAGTGTAGGGACTAATAGAGAAATTTTACCATACCATTTTTTTAACAATTTCTGTGCAACTTTCTGTGCATATTGCTGCCAACTTACAATGCAACTTTCGGTGCATTATTCAAGACCAATTTTCAACAATCTCCCACTTGAAGATTTGATTGGAACAATCATATCTTCACACCATTCTTTCTACCTTGTACCATCATGTTGCTTACGTATCTGATAGGACACAAGAGGATCGACAGCAAGTAAATTTATTAGCATTGATCTCTTTCGTCATGAAATCTACTATGTTGTCTTTGGTATGGATCTTCTGCATATCTATCGTCCCTTCTTCCACATTTTCATGAATGAAATGGTACTAAACTTGTATATGTTTTGTCCTTGAATGAAATGTTGGATTCCTTGCTAGATGCAAGGTGCTTTGACTATCACAAAACAGAGAGACGTACTCTTGATTGTGCCCAAGCTCCTCCAATAGCATCTTTAACCAGATTGCTTCTTTACTGGCTTGTGTAGCTGCTACATATTATGCTATGTTGTGGATGTAGCCACTACTGACTGCAATTTTAAAAACCAACTTACAGCTTCACCAGCAACTTTGAACACATATCCTGTAGTAGATTTGCTTTTATCCAAATCTTCTGCATAGTCAGAATCAACATACCCATTGATAAGTAAATTTGATACTCCGTAACATAATGTAACATTTGAGGTCCCTTTGATGTATCTCAAGATCCTCTTTACTGTATTTCAATGCTCTTTTATTGGATTCGCCGTGTATCGACTAACCACTCCCACTTCTTGTGCAATATTTGGTCTTGTGCATATCATAGCGAACATTAAACTTCCCACTGCTGATGCATACGGTACTCAAGACATCTATATCCTCTTTTCTTCACTGTTAGGACTCATACTTGAGGATAATTTGAATTTAATAGGAAGAGGTAGAAATTGGCTTACAATCTTGCATGTTGAATCGTGACAAAATCTTCTTCAAGTAATTCTTTTGTGAAAGCCAAATCTTCCTATTATTTCTGTCTCGGTGAATTTGCATCCCCAAAATCTTGTTTGTTGATCCCAAGTCCTTTATTTCAAATTCCCTAGCCAGTTGTGTCTTCAATTCTTTAATATGATCTTCTACAAAGATAATATATCTGCTGATGATCACTTTGTGGACAGTGGGATCCTACAAGCGATACCCCTTTACACTATTATCATACCCCTAAAATTTGCATTTCCTGGATTTTGAATCCAGCTTTGAAATTTTTTGGGAGTTGTGCATCATGTACATAATACTTCCAAATACATGGAGGTTTGAATAATCAGTTAGTTTACCAGTTCACATGTCTATTGGTGTCTTCATCTCTATTGCAGCTGATGGAGCTCAATTCACCAAATAACATGTGGCATTGATTGCTTCTACCTAAAATGATTTTTCTAGGCCGCAGCCCTCAACATTGCTCTTGTTCTTTCTAATAAGGTTCTGTTCATCCGCTCTGCCACTCTATTTTGATAAGGAGTGTTCTCCACTATGAACTGTCTTTTGATGCATTCTTTCCTACAAAAGTCATCAAATTTTTCACTTGTGTATTCTCCTCCATTATTTGTTCTGAAACACTCGATCTTATTTCCAGAATCAAGTTCCACCAGCGCTTTAAAGTTTTTGAAAGTTGAAAACACATCTGACTTCTTCGTAATAGGGTACACCCAACATCTCTTGGAGTAGTTATCAATAAATGAAACAAAGTATTTTGCTCCGCCTAGGGATGTAACTGGTGCTTGCCATACGTTAGAATGAACCAATTCTAGAACACTTTTGCCTCTAGAATTTGACATGTTATGTAACACCCAATTTAGGGGCTAAAATTAAGAAATTATAAAGCGGTGGATTTAATTTGGTATTTTAAAAGAAATAGGGGATTAAATTGTAAATTTTTAAAGTTGGCAGACCGTTTTATGAAGTGCAGGAAGTTCAGTGACTAAACTCTTGGTTTAGCCAATTTCCTATAGGAGAGAATTATAAACTCTCCCCCGTGCGCAGAATCAGAAAATTTTCCAGTTTTCCCTCTCCAACAACCCAACTTCCAACTCCGATCTACTCGCCGTCCGACCTCCAAACGACGAGCCAAAACCACCATCGTGTTCGTTGTCAATCGAGGAACAAAACCCCTCAAACCTTTCGTCGTGAATCATCGCCGTTCGTCGTGAATTTCAGTCGGAAGTATCGTCGTGAATTTCAGTCGGAAGTATCGTCGGTAATAACTCGATTTTAATTGGTTTTTCATCGATTCACGACGATCGGGTCATCCGTTTACGACACCTCTCGCACCATCGTGTTCGTTGCATCGTTCCGAGTTCGCCGGAGTCATCCTTGGTCTCCGTCGACGGCGGAGCGTGAGAAGGTGAAGCGGTCAAAGTTTGCGATTTGTTGAAATCGAGCTCTCCGCCGTTCAAAATTGTGAACCGAACTTTGTAAGTATCTCAAAATCGCTCAAAATAATTTTTAGGAATTTTTTCGGGATTTTAGCACTGTTCACGCGCCCCCACGCGACGCCACTGCGCGTGGGGAAGAAAAAATGACCGGTTTGACCGGTTTTGGTGCATAGTTGACCGGTTTGGCCGGTCACAACCCGACCCGTTGACCGTTTACCCGACCCGACCCGTTGACCGTTGACTCATTGACCGTTGACCGGCGTTGACCACTGTTGACCAAAACTTTGACTGGCTTTGACCGGGCATTAAACGACCTTTGACTTCGACCGAGTATACCTATCCTGACATTTTTCGACGTTCCAAATCCGATTCCGCTGTCCGTTTTTTGAAATTCGAACCCGAAGGCCTCGAAATTGCCGGTCAAACCCGTTGACTTTGATTTTGACCAAAAATTCCAAATTTCCGAAAAGTCATATTTTATGCTTTCGACGTTCTGAATCCGAATCCGAAGTCCGTTTCGCCAAATTCAAAACCGGTAAGCCGTATTTCACTGATTTATCACCCGATTCGATCCGTTTATCGTAATTAAGCTCCGTTTCTGATATAATTTCTGTTTATATGGATCCGAGGAAATATTGGATGTTGAATTGAAGATCAAAGGTGTTCGAATGGAATTTTTACGGTCGATCAGTATTGCACAGAAATCGAGGTAATACTTTACTACCTCTTTATGCTTTATGGAACATGTTGATATTGGTAAATGCATGAATAAGATAATGTTGGTCACTTTTGTGGAGTTGAATAATTTATTCACTCGATATGAATGTGGTAGAAATTCTATAACTGAATACAGATCGAATGACTAATATAAGAGATTGAAAGATTGTTAGAATTAAATTACAAGTTTGTGAATAGTGATAAAGAAATCAGACATGGATTTGTAAATTATATTTTATATCATCAAAGGTTAAATGTTAAAGGTACTTGGATGGGAAATTATGAGAATACTTCGGTATGGTAAAAATACGAAATTACCCTTATATTGGAAAATGATAAGAATTGTCCCTA